AAGAATGTTGAAAAAACAGCAAAGCATCTGTCTAAATTTAACTGAGAAACTTTGTGGACTGTTAATTTGCAAACCAAATGTCTGTCAGTCTTGCTTGCTCTGGTCACTGCACATCTGTTTCTCACTGAGGTCAAGCCGGTGGTTGAGTTTTACCTCATGGGAATGAGTTCCAAGAAGGACAACAATGAAGCTCGTGGGTGGACGTCTCTAATCTGAGTCTGCCAAGCTCCCAAAAGCCTGAAAGATACAAACACACTTAAGGATGAGCTTTTCTGTCCTCTCGATAAATCTTGCTTCCCTCCCCCCCCAAAAGAATGTCCGATTCACCCCACCTCGACACACACACACACACACTCTCTCTCTCTCTCTCTCTCTCTCTCTCTCTCTCTCCAGGAAAAGTAAAATTACAATGGGTATGACATCAACGTCTCGCTCACACCACAGAACACTCGGGCAGGACGCTGCACGCCGAGATCCTCGGATCTTTATCCATAACAAGACACAATCAGCTGGCTCATGCCTGAGAATACCGCAAACAGGGAAGCCGGGAGGGAGCGCAGGCGACTGGGCCGGCGTCCGCACTTACCTGCTGGGCGGGAGCAGAACGCGCGTGACAGTTCCCAGTGCCATGGCCGCCATGGCCCTCCTGCCTCCGCCTGCCGCTTCCGGGCGCGCATCCCTTGGCGGTCCGGCCCACGGTGCCTCACATAGAGGTCCCGCCGGCGCGCCTCCCCAAGCTCCCGCGTTCCGGCCGTGCCTGGCCCCGCCCCCGCCTCGGTCCCGCCCCGGCGGCCGCGCCTCATGTAGCCCAGGTTTCCGCCCCGCCCGCCGTCACGAACCCGCCTCTGTAGCGGGCGTAGCCCTGTCAGCCGGTTCTCAGCGGGTGGGTCGCCTGCGCCCTCGCAAGGGCCTGGCCTGCGATGCATCCCGCAAGGCGGAGGGGGCGCCCCTCCGTTCCTCCGGGGCCAGGTGTCCACTTCTGTGAAACGGCCCCGATTTCCTAATAAAGGCGCCCGCTTCGGCCTCCCGCCCTCTCGATCGGACCTGGCTCGTTCCCCGCGTTTGTCCGAGCCGGGGCCTGGCGCCCGCGCAATGCCCAGTGGCGCATGTTGATGAACGGCGGAAGCTAGTTGGTCAGTTCGGAGCTGGTGAGGCAGAGCCGGGGACGGACTGTCCACGCCACCCGCCCGCGGTAGAACCCGGCGTTGCCCTGCACTCGGAGCAGCCCGGGCAGCCACGTCCGCGTGGGAAGCGGTTTCCCGCCGGGGCGGTTTGGCAGGTGCGCGCCGTGACTTCCGGCGTTGCCCGGGAGCCGCCGGAGGAGGAGCGGCGCAGGGGATGCG